AATCAGTAAGGCATGGCGCAGACCCAACGTTTCGTTGCTGATTGGCCTGTTAGGTTCTATATCCAAATTGGCATTCGGAGGCATTTGACTGGACCGGCGGCGCGCTGATTTTTAACGTGAGAGAATTTCCACACCTTTGTGTTAATAAAACTCCCCCACTACTTGAGACTATTCCTTGCACTCCTCTTCTAGTAAACACTAAGAATGTCTCAACCCATATTGCCATCAGTAACGTGCACTTGTTGTTACAGCAGGATCGTTTGGTGTCGCTGCGACCGTACGGACCGGTCATATTTGCGCCAATCCGTGTTTCTCAACATGCTATTTTAACATAATTTTTCTGGTTGGGCCATCTCCTTGGTTATGGCTGGTAGCCTACCCAGCGCATACCTTGGCGCCACCACCGATAACAACTTAAGATTCGTTAATTTTAATTTACAAAGGGGACCTTATCATGCCAAAAAGCACTTTTTTATGTGCTTTTATGCATAAATTGTGTTCCCGGTGTGTCGAGGAACTCACGCGCGTCAGAAAAATATACCCTCTCTCTTTTCCTCCGTACCCAAATCTCTAAAAACGGGCGTACAAAGGAGCTGATCCAGATTTGCGTCCGATGTCAAGAAACGTTGCTATCCAGAAAACAATGCCTGACTGTTTTGGGATGTAATATGGTCGTTGCACTGTTTATATTAGCATCGCTAAACTCCAGAGCTAACCTGTACTGCACAGAGCATGTGTGTGAAGAAGCAGGAAAAATAAAAAGGAACTCACCCTATGTGCTATAACCGGCAAGAGAGAAAAGCCTTTTGAGCTCCATACTGTTTTCAGAAATAACCCTTCCCCAAATCAGCACTTTTGAAACAGGAAGTGAAATAGAGGGATATGAGGCATGGCTAGAATGGGTGGATCTGTTTGGTATTTGGAGCAAAACACTTCATAACATGGTTTTTATATATAATATATTTTTTTATCAGAGACCTACATGCTACTTGCCTAGAAAATAGCATTGATGGGTGACTTTAACCCCATTACTGGTATTTTAATTAGTGATTATAATCTAAACATGTGTCAACACAAAAACCAAAGATGACAGAAGTATCTGCAATAAATGTAAGGTGGCTGGACATGAGAACTGTTGATTAAACGTGCACAAACATGGATAACCACTGTTCGGTCCAGTCTCAACCTTTAGTGGCTTTCCTAGGTTTGGTGGGGTCCTGAGCTGCGGGGCCCGTCCCTGTCCAGTCTTTCAGTCCATTCAGGTATCAGCAGGTTTCAACAAACACCGGTCCAGTTCCTCCAGAACAGACTCCTCACACTGACCCGGCAAAGCGGTGCCAGAGCCATGTGTTCTTTATCTCAAATGGAGCAAATATCCCACCGTAGCTGCAAGTGTCTAAAATAGCAAGAGATGCAGTTTGAATTACTTGTGGTTTGTTCAAGCCGGTGTACCTTCTTAGTTAAACAGGGAATATATACAGTGGGGCAAAAAAGTATTTAGTCAGCCACCAATTGTGCAAGTTCTTCCCACTTAAAAAGATGATAGGCCTGTTATTTTCAATCCTAGCTTATACCTCAATATGAGAGACAAAAATGAGAAAAAAGGAATATCAAGAAAAACACATTGTCTGATTTTTAAAGAATTATTGCCAACATTTATGGTGGAAAAAAGTATTTGGTTCAATAAAAAAAGTTTATCTCGATACTTTGTCTATATCCCTTTGTTGGCAATGACAGAGGTCAAACGTTTTCTGTAACGTCTTCACAATGGTTTTCACACAGCTGTTGCTGTATTTTGGCCCTTCCTCCATGCAGATCTCTCTAGAGCAGTGATGTTTTTGGGGCTGTCGCTGGGCAACACGGACTTTCAACTCCCTCCAAAGATTTTCTAAGGGGTTGAGACCTGCAGACTGGCTAGGCCACTCCAGGACCTTGAATGCTTCTTATGAAGCCACTCCTTCGTTGCCCGGCGGAGTGTGTGTTTGGGATCAGTTGTCATGCCTGAAAGACCCAGCCACGTTTCACGCTTCAATGCCCTTGCTGGCATGGAAAGGATGGGTTGGTCACTCAAAATCTCACGGGCTGTCGATACATGGGCCCCATTACATTCTTTCCTGTGACACGGGGATCAGCTCGTTCCTGGTCCCTTTGCAGAAAAACAGCCCAAAGCATGATGTTTCCACCCCATGTTTCACAGTTAGGTTATGGTGTTCTTTGGCTGCGCAACTCGCATTCTTTCTCCTCCAAACACGGGTCTAGTTGAGTTTTTACCAAAAAATTATATTTTGGTTTCATCTGACCATATGACATTCTCCCAAAACTCTTCTGGATCATCTCAAATGGCTCTCTTAGCCAAACTTCAGACGGCCTGGACATTATACTGGCTTAAGCAGCGACCACGTCTGGCACTGCAGGATTTGAAGTCCCTGGCGCGTTAGTGGTTACTGGATGGTAGCCCTTTGTTACTTTCGGTCCCAGCTCTCTGCAGGGTCCTTTGGACTAGGTCCCCCCGTGTGTGTTCTGGGATTTTTGCTCACCGTTCTTGTGATACTCATTTTGAACCACCACGGGGTGAGATCTTGCGTGGAGCCCCACAGATCAGAGGAGATAATATTCAGTGGTCTTGTATGTCTTCCATTTTCTAAATAATGCTCCCACAGTCTTGATTTCTCACACCAAGCTGCTGTACCTATTGGCACGTTCAGTTTCCAGCCTGGTGCAGGTCTTCATTTAGTTTTCTGGTGTCTTTGACAGCTCTTTGGTCTTGGGCCATAGTGGAGTTTGGATGTGACTGTTTTGAGGTTGTGGACAGGTGTATTGTATTACTGATAACGAGGTTCAAAACAGGGTGCACATTGAATACAGTTAACAAGTGCGAGGACAGAGGAGGCTCTTAAAAAGAAGTTCACAGGTCTGCTGAGAGCCAGAAATTTGTTTTGTTTGGTAGGTGAACCAAATCTGTATTTCCGACATAAAGGTTAACAAAATAAGTCTTTAAAAGTCAGTACAATGTGATTTTTTCTGGATTTTTTTTTCTCTTCTGTGCTTCATAGTTGAGTTATCCTAGGATGAAAATTTACAGGTACCTCTCTACATTCTTTGTTAAGGTGTCGAGAAAGCTTCACAATTTGGTGGCTGACTAAATACTTTTTTTGCCCCACTGTAAAGGATCAGTGTTGCAACTCAAAACATTACAACTTGGTAGAGTCATGCTGATCAGACTTCACTGACTACTTGCGGGTTTTATCAAGCAATAAAGTGACAGAATACAGTACATGTCGTTAACTAACTTTGGGCTTTGTGTTGAATTCTCTTCCGTCTGCAAAAAACGTGTGATTTCGGCTTTCCGCGCGGCGAGCAAAAAACATTCAGGTTAACAGCGTCCATCTTAAATCTGGAACACGTTGTTGCAGCTTTCTACTTTTTGCATCAACAAACACAATCCACATTTACTTACATCTGTCTCTTCTTTTAACCTTTTCTCTTCTTCTTCATTTGCTTCTTTTCTTTCTTCCTTTTGTGGTTCAAGCTTTGCCCTAAACCAAATTCAAAGTGTCAGTTTTAGATGAGAGAAATATTTGTTATTGCATTTACAGGTTATGCCGGAATCCTTAAGTCAAATGTAATAACTTTTTTTAAAGCCTTTTTTAAGACCCGTTTCCCATACACTTTAAGACCTCAATCGCCACTTCGAGTTTTAAACCGGTTACTTGGCGACACACTTTACCTCACATTGACTATATCGCAGTATTGATTGTCCTTCACTCCCTCTATCTTCCAACCATTTGGACGCAGACTGTGCATTCCCCATAACGGATGTTAGCAACGGCGTGAGAAGACCTTCGCGCACTATCAAGCAGTAGTGCAAGTGTCCTGTTCAGATGACTGTCAAATCAACGGGATGCATTAATAAACTACACAGAATCACATACACACCTACGCAATGATTACATTCAGGCAGACTGTAGAATACAACCTCTTTGCACAAGTTATATTATACGATTTGAAAAAAAAGTAACAAAAATGTAATACCTTGGAAAATGCGTTTAATACTTTATTAATAGCCTTAATTTTCGCTAAATTGATTATCAGCTATATAATCTGTTCAATATATTAATCATTCCTATCCTGTCATATATTATGTATATATATATATATTGTATATATAATACCTTGAATAAATTCAACATGTATATTTTGTACTTTTTTTGANGGGTCTTAAAAAGTATTCAAAGTTGATCAGATAAGATGGTACTTTATTGATCCCAATTTGGGAAATGTTTGTGTTCCAGCAGCATAAGAAAACAAGGCAATGTACAATACAATGAAAATTCAAAGACTAGAAATAATCAAGAAAGTACAAAATATACATGTTGAATTTAACAAGGTATTATATATACAAATATATATATATACATAAATATATGACGGAAGGAATATTAAATATTGAACAGATTATATACTGACAAATCAATTTAGCGAAAATTAAGGCTATTAAAAAGTATTAAACGGCATTTTCCAAGGTATTACATTTTGTAGCTTTTTTTCAATACGTATATAAATTGTCCAAAGAGGTTGTATTCTACAGTCTGCCTGAATGTAATCATTGCGTAGGTGTGTAGTGTGATTCTGTGTAGTTTATTTAATGGCATCCCGTTGGATTTGACGTCATCTGAACAGGACATCGCGCGCTCACTGCTTGATAGTGCGCGAAGGTCCGTTTACGCCGGTTGTTAAACATCGTTATGGGGAAATGCAAGTCTGCGTCCAAATGGTTGGAAGATAAGGAGGAAGGACAATCAATACTGTATATAGTCAATGTGAGGTAAAGTGTGTCGCCAATGTAACCGCTTACAACTCGAAGTGGCGATGAGGTCTTAAAGTGTATGGAAAGGGCCTTAAAAAAGTTATTACATTTGACTTAAGGATTCCTGCATATACCCTGTAAATGCAATAACAAATATTTCTCTCATCTAAACTGAACTTTGAATTTGGTTTAGGGCAAAGCTTGAAGAGAAAAGGAAGAAAGAAGAAGAGAAGCAAATGAAAGAAGAAGAGAAAAGGTTAAAAGAAGAGAAGGATGTAAGTAAATGTGGAAATGTGTTTGTTGATGCAAAAAGTAGAAGCTGCAACAACGTGTTCCAGATTTAAGATGGAGCTGTTAACTGAATGTTTTTGTTTACAGCGTGTCAAAGCGGGGAAAGCAGAAATCACACGTTTTCTGCAGAAATCAAAAATTCAACAAGCTCCAAAGGTTAGTAGATATAACCGAATGTATGTATTTGTTAATTTATTGCTTGATAAAACGCAAGTAGTCAGTGAAGCTGAATCAGCATGATCTTACCAGGTGTAATGTTTGAGTTGCAACACTGATCCTTTACAGTGGGGCAAAAAAGTATTTAGTCAGCCACCAATTGTGAAGTTCTCCCACTTAAAAAGATGAGAGGCCTGTAATTTTCATCCTAGGTATACCTCAACTATGAGAGACAAAAGGAGAAAAAGAAATCCAGAAAATCTGATTTTTAAAGAATTTATTTGCTAATTATGGTGGAAAATAAGTATTTGGTCACCTACAAACAAACAAGATTTCTGGCTCTCACAGACCTGTAACTTCTTCTTTAAGAGCCTCCTCTGTCCTCCACTTGTTAACTGTATTAATGGCACCTGTTTGAACTCGTTATCAGTATATAAAAGACACCTGTCCACAACCTCAAACAGTCACACTCCAAACTCCACTATGGCCAAGACCAAAGAGCTGTCAAAGGACACCAGAAACAAAATTGTAGACCTGCACCAGGCTGGGAAGACTGAATCTGCAATAGGTAAGCAGCTTGGTGTGAAGAAATCAACTGTGGGAGCAATTATTAGAAAATGGAAGACATACAAGACCACTGATAATCTCCCTCGATCTGGGGCTCCACGCAAGATCTC